CCAACACACAAACTGAAATCAGCTGATCGTAGCCAAGTGTGCAAGGATCTATAGGCAGGCAGACTAACAATTCAAGCACGTAGACTAGTAGAATTCCAAGAACCGGTTCTCGTATCCCATCCCTGCGTGTAAGGTTAAATCAGTGCTCCTTTTTTCAGGTATGACACTGTTTATTATCATGTTGGTTGGTAAATGTTTTGTAGCTGCATCACTGCCCCCTGCTGGTGATGCTGGCATGTTTTTAGCTGAGAGTAGAAATGTGACATTAAAAACGGTCAGCATAGATCATGATTCTGATTTTTAATCGCCTGTTTCTCGTGTCTGCGGTCTGTCCGCCTCTTAAACATTTACCCTATTGTCTGTTTTTCAGCCACATCCTGTCAGTTTTATTTGGGTTTTTCTTTCTTCATGAGTGAATATTTGAGCGTCCACACACTCCCGCCTGAGTTTAAAGCTGAATAAAGATGTTTTTAACTGTTTGTTGGTGAATCTGTTCGTTAATTATTTAACTGGAGGTTTTGTTGTTCTTTGTTTCAGATCTTCTGTCTCCATGGAGGCTTGTCTCCTTCCATAGACACTCTGGATCACATACGAGCTCTGGACCGCCTGCAAGAAGTTCCACATGAGGTACACACACACACTCCTCGTGCCTATGGTACGACAGCTTTTCTCCGTGCAAAAGCCCGTCGGTTGTTTGAGAGACGGCCTCTGTGGAGCTTTTATTTTCACACTGATCCACGTTTGGCACCACATGGTGATAAATAGGCAGAACAAACGCGTCGGTCGGCTCGATGCTGACACTCATTCGTGAGCTGCAGAGGAGCCAGAGCCGAGGCTTAGACCTGATTGTGTCATTAAAAACTATAGACACAGCTCATCTGTTCACACGTAGTAATTTTACTGCTTTATGTACAAAATTGTCACCAAAGCAAGAATAGGAGAGCAGTTTATTAAAGAAATCAGTGCTCTGCAAAGCTCTGCAACACCAATCAAACCTTCAATAACGTCTGGTGTCCATCATGAGTTTCTGCGTACAGTGCAGTTACGATCTGTGCTTCTAGTTTAAACTCGAAGCATCATTTATCAGGTTTATATTTAAGATTCTGAACTGTGCAGTTTACCTGAGCTGTTTGCTTCTGTTTCAGGGCCCGATGTGTGACCTGCTGTGGTCGGACCCCGATGACCGCGGTGGGTGGGGGATCTCTCCCCGAGGTGCCGGCTACACCTTCGGTCAGGACATCTCTGAAACCTTCAATCATGCCAACGGACTCACTCTGGTGTCTCGCGCCCATCAGCTGGTCATGGAGGTAAAACGATGACTTTTGGACGCTTTTTCACAGCACGGTGTCACTTTTATGTGAAAATATTGTGCTGTTTAACCAAAGAATGAGTTTGAATATTTGTTTATACAAAATCTCCTCGGGGGTTCACTTTAAAAAAAACAAAAAACAAATCTGGCTTTTCAGGTAAAAGAAGGAAATCCAACCTGTTTATACGCAGAGATGATGATTCAGATTAGAAAGAAAAAAACAAAACACTTTATTGTGGGTCAGGTGACCTCATTATCCTGGTCAGGTGACCTCATTATCCTGGTCAGGTGACCTGTTTGTCCTCTGATGTCATGATGATGAGCTTCAGGAACCCACGCTGCTGCAGGTTTGTCGTGATGAACGTCACGTGTCCTGTTATTTTTATGTTAAACCTGGCACACGTGTTCACACAGCCAGTGGACTGAAGGGTCCTATAAAAATCCTCTGGTTTCCATGGCAACAACATGAAGTTGGAGCAGGCTCCTCATCTCCTCCCTGGTGTCCCAGTTTCACTCCCACGGAAGTTCAGTTCACTGTTCAGAAGATTCGCCAAGCAGCTGCACGAACTTCATCTGCAGCTGAAGGAAAGATCCGATCACAGGCGGCCGAGGACGCGCCGCGCCCACAGATGAACCCTCAGCTCGTCCCGACAGAGCGGTCACCCTCGCTGGTTCCATCAGAGCAGGTCGAGCTGAGAGTTCCTGGTTTGACCGTTATTCTCACTGGAAATGTTAAAAGTTCTCGTCAGTTTTCCTGAACTGATCTGCGAGAGCTGTTCCTGTTGATGTTAGCACGCCATTCAGTTCACGGTTAACTTGACAATTTCATGTGTCTGAAGTGAAATACGACTTTGCAGTCCTTTTTTTTTTCTTTTTTCTCACAGACGATTTTGTCCTTCAGAGTAAAATATCTCTGCTTCTCTGTGCTGATTGGTCGGTTAAAGACTGGCTGATTCTCACTCAAAAACATTTCACGACCGCAGCGGTGAAACGTCAAAAACAAAGAAATGAAACTTGTTCTTGAGCCCATGGAGCCCTGCTCGTTCAGCTCAGTAGCGCCCCCTGTTGATCAGAGGTGTCCCAGTCTAACTGACATGTTTGTTCCTGCAGGGCTACAACTGGGGCCATGACAAGAACGTGGTGACCATCTTCAGTGCTCCAAACTACTGCTACCGCTGTGGAAACCAGGCGGCCATCATGGAACTGGACGACACTCTGAAATATTCTTTGTAAGTACGAAGAATGCGTTCACATCATATGAGAGGCCGAACGGTGCTGAGGTTAAATATGAATAGATCCATGTAAAATACATGAAGTGAGCCGTGTGGGGACACTGAGGGTTGGACACACTAAACATCACGAATCACCAGATTCCTTTTTTAATGTTTCTCTTCTTTCATATAATAAGTTTAGCATGAACACTCAAACTGTGCTTCTGCGTAACGTTGAGTCAGAAACATCAGAGCACACATTCAGTTTCATTCATGGAAACACTGACAGCTGCCAGCAGGGGGCGACTCCTGAAGGTTGACATGAGCTGAGCTCAGTAAACTCACCTGATGAGTTTTTGGTCTGAATAAAATGTAGTTATTCTGGAAGTTTTGGTCCTGTTACAGTTGAAACATCCAGAAAGGGGGAGGGCTTAGGGGCGGGGCTTTATTCTGACAGACAAGCAGCTCCACGGCTCGCTCCTTAACATCTGATTTTAAAACGCCAGGTCAAGGCTTTACATCACTCTGACCATCTTTTATGTACAGTCTAGGACTCTCATCCACTAAAATTACATAACTGTCTTTGTTACCATGGATACAGAAGCTAAGGTTTAACTGATCTAACCTCACTCGACTTAAAGGAAGTCATCACTAACGAGGTTTCTTCTGTCTCCTCAGCCTTCAGTTTGACCCCGCCCCTCGCCGCGGTGAGCCCCATGTGACCAGACGCACTCCCGACTACTTCCTGTGAATGTCCGAAGCATCCCCGTCCATCATCCACGAAGCTCCACCCACCCCTCCCCACCCCACCTCCACCCCAGTCATTTTGGATGGAAAGACCATTCTAATCCTTCTTCTGATAATGATGATGATGATGATGAATAGAGACAAACGATTGGCTGAATCCAGATTTTAAAGAGGGCGCCCCCTACAGTCGTGTTTTCAGTATGCTGTCTTTAATGCTGTGCTGCAGAAACATGTAAACTCTGATCTGTTCTTCTTTTTGTTTCTTACATGTTTGAAATCGAGAGAATAAAACTACCAACGTGGACCAAATGTGCCATAATTCTGCTCCTTTACCACATGTACAACGCAAACGCAGGCTTCCTCCTTCTTCCTCTTCTGTTTCCTTTCTCTTTTTTTAAAGACCACAGCACTAAAACAGACCTGACATTATCGCCAACACCACACGTCTCCTGGCATACCTGCTTTTTTCTTTTTTTTTTTTCTGTTGCGAAATAATTTTAAAAACTGATTTAAGTTTGCTTCTAGTAGTACAGCTGTGAGTTTTAGCTGTCCGGGCTGCAGCCGGTGGTCATCTCAGCAAGTATATTACTGTAATTTGAATAAAGACAACAGACGTATGAAATAAAATGTCCTATTGATGAACTTCCTCTGTGAGTCGACCTCGTTCTTCTCCTGCTTTACCTGGAGGTTCAAACTTTGTCCTGCAGTTCTGTTGTGTTCTGAGCACGCTCAGAACACATGTTCAGCTTGTTACTTAAGCCCAGGGGTGGGCAACTCCAGCCCTCAAGGGTCTGTGTCCTGCAGGTTTTAGGTCTCACCCTGGGCCAACACACCTGAATCAAATGATTCATTATCAGGCCTCTGGAGGTGATTTAGCCATTTAAATCAGCTGTGTTGGATCAAGGACACATCTAAAACCTGCAGGACACCGGCCCTCGAGGCCTGGAGTTTGACACCTGTGCTCTAAGGTCAAGTCTGAGAATGCTGGCAGGAAATGTATATATTTTTTATTTACATATTTTAATGCAGAGATTCAGAAGGAAATCTGAAATGTTTAAAAGTGTTAAATGAGACTACTTTGTACTTTGCAGGATGTTTTTATTTGTTTTGATGAAAGACTAACATCACAGTGCTGAGCAGCCTGTAGCTTCACACCTGCATCTACTGCTGGAAACTATAACCGGAGCTCACCGGCAAGTATCAGTGACGTCACGTAAAGTGAATCACAGCTGTTCTGAAATCAGGCGATGAACATGAAATGGCTGATGTGTTGTAGAAATCAGCAGGAACTTTTTCTTTAAATGATTTCTGCAGAGCGAGTTTTACAACCGAGAATTAGAAAAAGCCTTAAAGACAAATTTGATAGTGATCATTTATTTTTGAATTTATGGTAAAAGTTTAAAAAGTTTTTTCCACTTTTTGCTATTTTTATGCAACTGAACAACCATCGTTTCTCCATCTTTTGCAGGAAAATGCGAATAGATACATGGAAATGCTGTGAGCTGCAGAGCTCACAGCACAAACTTCTCCGGGCTTCCTGAAGCTCTTCTTTGGATGTTTCTGCCTTTGTGGATGATGAGCAGATGTTTCCAGATGTTACTGTTTATGATATCAAACTTTGGTGAAAATCAACGACTGTAAAAAAGACACGTTTTCAACTGAAAATGACTTCCGCATCAGCGTTACATCAAATATCGCGAGAGTTGGAGCGATATTTGCTCGACACCGTCCATGTTAGCTTCCTGGAGTGGTTCGCGGCTGTTTGATGGAGGCGCGCGGGTCTGAGGTGTGGAGGTGGGCTAGAGTCATCACCTGTCAGCTCAGAGAGGCCCGCCGGTAAAATACCGGCTCTGCTAACCGGTCAGCCCGCTAGCTAACGTGAGCTAGCAGCAGAGGCTAAAAACATTAGCCCCCGGTGCTCGAGGGAAGTTTGGTACCTGAGCGCGAGCTGAGCCCGAGTTTACTTTAAAGCCGCAAAGTTCAAAGGTCACGGAGTCGGTAAAGATTTGTTTGAATGTGACATTTCGCTCGGGATGCTGTGTAGTGTGAATGCTTCTGTCAGCGTGTGTAGAAACGTGAACTCCGGAGCATGCGCAGTATAATTTCTGCTGAGCATTTTTAACAGTTAATCCATTCACCACTTGATGACGTTAACGGGCTGTCGGTCTGAATGAAACGTGCTTCATGTCTGCCTGGACTGACGTCACACAGAGGAAGATGATGATGGTGAGGAGGAGGGTGTTGCAGCCGGTCCCCTGACCCCGTCCGCCTGTATGGAGGATGTAGTCCTGCACTATCAGCCTGGATCAGCTGATGAGCTCGGCTCGCTGTTGGAGACCACGCAGAAGCTCCTGGAGCTGTTCCCTCTCCGTGCTCCTCCGGCCTTCACGCCGTGGTTCCCCACGCTCACCGGAGACCGCCGTCTGCCCATCAGACCTGCGAGACCAGCTCCCGTCATCACGTGTTTGGATGATTCACCAGCAGCAGAGGTGAGACCCAGAGATGGTGACCCAGAAACCCACTGCGATCTCCACCCTGTGTCTCCTGACAACAGACCTGAGAAGCAGCCACACAAGGACAAAGATGGTGCCCTTGGCACCGGCTCGGAGGTCAGGCGGAGCAGGTGGAGCGTCTTCACGCAGAGAGGCGTCCTGCAGCAGAGCTCGCAGGCGCTGTCCAGACAGTTTCACCACGCCGTCTCCGTCCACGGGCTCCACCTCCGCCAGAGGGCCAAGTGGGTGATCGGTGAGCTGAACTGCGGAGCAGCGAGAGACATCGAGGAGGTCGGTGGAATGTTGTAGAAACTGTGAAGCTTTACAATGTTTTAAAATTTTGTTTGAAGGCTGATGAAGATGTTAAAAGTGAGGGAAAATCACAGACTGGAGCCAGACGTGAGACGGTGGAGTGCACACAGACACACACACCTGCTAATCAGTGCTCAGTAACATTCACTCAAAATGTCACTGAGTAAAACTCAGCCAGCCTTCCTGGGGTCAGTGCACTGACCTCACAGCAGCCATGTTATTGGTCACATGATGTCATTAAGCAAACAAACACATTGCAGAGGCCCAGTTCAGGTGAAGCTAGCAGACGGCTAGGAGCTAGATCCAGCTGTCAGTCAAAGAGGCCACGCCCCCAATTCAATTCAAATTCTTTATTGTCCCACAAGGGGAGATGAGTTTAGCAGCAGGGAACATAAAAGTAAACAAAACAATAATATAAAATAATAAAATGTCTTACTAGAACAGGTCCGTTATTAAAGCGTCGTCCCCTCTACAGCTGTTGTGAAGGAGGAAATTATCCACAGAGACCAGTTTGTTTATCAGGCTGGAAACACACTGTGAAGTTTTAACATGGGAGTCTATGGGGACTGACTCACTGCTGCCCCTGCTGGGTGTTAGAGGAACTGCAGGAGGTTGATGTTTGTGTTTACAGGTGGTTTCGAGTAGAAGCGCAGGGCGATGTGTAACGAGAACTCCTCGACTCTTCCTCAGAGACGTTTCTTTAATGATGGCGGCGCCGTGACTTTACACTCGCTGTATTGGTTGTTGCGTGTGCTACTGTGACATCATTACAGCCTTGTGACCACTTCCTGGTGCCTGAGGTGCTGGACTCATTGCAGTCTTCCTCTGAACAGTGGGAGCGGTCGTTTCCAGCAGCGTGTCCGTCTGAAACATCTGTGAATCTGCAGCTGTGACATCACATCTGCTGCACCTGCGCTCACAGCACGCACGGGAAACTTCACACATGTACGAATGCTGGCGGCGGCGGCGGCGATTAATAAATCGCCACAAGTCGGAGTACTTCTCTCCCATACTTGCTGGTCAGACAGCTTCTAGGTGCATCACTGCCACCTTCAGCCATAACAATGCGTTACAAAAACAACCAAACACAAACTTTAATAATCAGTGACTGTGGAATATTTAATCTGCACCATTCGTGGTAATCACCAGGTGTGAGTGTCACACACACGTTAAAGATTAGAACGAAGCCACAGAAATAAAACTTTATTTGCTCGTCAAAGTTAATAATTTGTTGTCTCTCAGAGAAAAATGCCAAAGATTCGCAGCTTCCAGGTTTCCCACCGACGTCTCGCGATGACGAGTGTGTGAGTCAGACATGCTTAGAAACTGCATCTCTGATCATCTTCACACTTTAACTGTTAAAGCGGGCACGAGGACTGTGAGTCCGCTGCTGGTTAAATGTTACCTGTGGACGGCGCCAGCGTGTGCGTTTTTCCTGCGTGCTGTGTCTGCTGATCCTTATCTGAGTGTCCGACCTTCACCTCGTTTCCACAGCTCGTCACATTTTAAACGTCCCACAGAAATAAGTCTGCTCAGCTGTTTCATGTTGTCACACTGTTTACGTGGAGTTTGCTCCTCCTCCCCGCAGGTGTGGCGGACTCTGAGCCGCTCGGCGCGAACTTCCTGCCTGCCGTCGTGTAATGCCAACATCCAGCGCGAGCGCGGCGAGATCTGGGTGTTCTGCGACGTGCTGCACTCCGAGCAGGTGGGGCGCTTCCTGAAGGAGGAGCTGCGGCTGTCGGGGAGGATCGGCCTGTCGGTGCGCCGGCTAGGAAACGTCTTCAGCATGTAGAGCGCCCCCTGCTGCACTTGCTTGGGTTTCTGCAGACGTCGCAGCTTAGACGGAGGCTGCAGTGACATCGGGGGCGGCTTCGGTCTTATTCTTTGTCACTGTGGTTTAACCTGCAGCTCGGCCCGGCCGGCATCAGTGTCACAGTGTGAGTCCTGACAAACACCAGTCGGATAATAATCAGCACAATAAAAGTGATAAAAGGAAGCAACAGTGAAACGATCAGACCCACTCAGGGAGACGCGCTGTGTTACAGGAAGCTTTCTGCCATAGTTAACAGTCTTGTTTTAGAGATGCAGACATAATCCAGCTGATGTTTATCAGCTGTTCACATCAGGTTGTAGCTGGAAACTGTTGATGAAGACGAAGAAGCTCCAAGAAAAACCAAGTTAACATTCTGCTCTGTCTTCAAATAAACCAGAGTCCATTAACAAAAACCTCACAGAGCACATTAAAAAGAACAGTTAGTGTTACAGAGTGCACGCTCAGAGCGAGGCTGTGTGATAGTGAACGAAATATGCTCATCAAACAGCAAATCCACGCCGCCATTTATCCACTGTTCAGGCTTTCTCTGAAGTAAACAACGTGAATATTCATCAAGTTTTCTGCCATACTGGCTTTATGAGCAGATCAAACCCAGTTTCCAGCAGTAAGCCTGACCTGTGTGAAACAGTAATATGTGATCAGCTGTTGCAGCTGTGCACTGTTACCTCTCAGCGCTGCTCTGCATCCACACAGGATGTAAAAATATATCTAAGTTAAGCTAAAACTGTTTTTCCTCTTCATCAAATGCTTCAAGGGCAGAAATCATATTTTATTCAAATCTACTGAACTATTCATGAGCTCGGGGGAGGGGGGGTGCTCCAGTTGGATTGTGTGTTGTGTCTGTGTGTGTGTTTGTGTGTGTGTTTGTAAAGTGTTTTCATACTGATGTTTGTCATCCTTCTCTGATGCCAATAAAGCTTTTTTAATATTTGTAATAAGTGTCTGGAGTTGCTGCATGTGATGTGATGTGACTGTTCTGGAAAAGCTGCAGCAGTCACATGATGCTGGAGTCACACACACACACACACACACACACACACACACACACACACCCCGAGCAGCCTGAATGAATGAGTGCAGCATGAATACAGTACAACCCCCATCCCTCTCACACGCACTCTTTTGTTGCTGTGGGCTCTCTGCACACTGCGTTAAAAAACAAAATCTGGGTTACCGGATGTGACGTAAGCCCCCAGCCCCCGTTTTCAGCTTTAATCGCTTGTCAGATCTTGAATCCGTGTTTCTGGCTTATTAACGCCTCAAATATATGATGCAATAATAAAGGAAACGCAGAATACGTGACTATCTTCGGTTTGCTAAACGTCTCACCTGCTTGAAATTTCCACTATTGATTTTTAAGCACGTTCGTATCCTCAGGTTTATTGTGAAAGACATTCGGAAATGTAACATTTTGATCGCTTGTTTTATTTAAAAGAAACACACATATTTGTTTCATTAAGCAGAAAATAAATAACTTTAACATTTAGATTTTGGATTCTGATAAACACTATTATCCTGAAAACAAAGCATTTACGGTTAAATCGAACTTTTATGCCGATGCTTCGCGCTGTAAAATTAAAAATCCCTTTTATTTTGAAAGCCCGTACCGGAACCTCTGTCTGTCACGCGCACTTGACACCTGTCTCCCTGCTGTAATACAGACGGACGAAGCACGAGTGTCTTCATCTGGGAAATAATCGATAAAACAGCGGCACATCTCAGCTTTGAACTCCATCAGGAGGTCGTGTGCCCTCACTGCTTCGTCATGGCGCCCGCTGCTCGTGCTGTTGGAGGCTTTTATTGGTGAAACATCAAGAAATAAAGGTGAGACGTTTGAGCGTCTGAAGCTAGGTGGCTAAGCTAGCGCTGGCATGCATTGTCGTTTCCCGTTTCCTGAGGGGATCCATCGTCTGAAAGCTGCTCCTGATGCTGTTTTACAGCTTCTGGGAGCTTTACTTAAACTCTGTATCGATAAAGATTTCACGTGGCTAAAATAAAATGAAAGTGTTTGATTTTAGGCTCTGTGGGATAAACCCCGCGAGGTGGAAAGTCCCCTTAAAGTCAGACTTTTGGGGTTTTCTTCCTTTTTTGCTCTTTGAGTGACGAAAGTCCCTTTAAAACCCGACAAATGTTCTCTGTTTGGTGTGTAATGTTTGTAAATTGCGTGTATTTTATAATTATTAGCATTTTTAAATGTCGTCGCTTTGTTTTCATTTATACGTCAATTTATCCAGAAATTCCAGTTTATTTAAATTAAATCTTAAAGCATGTCCGCTTGAACCTGAACTAATTAAAATTCGTCGATTAATGATTCAAGAGAAATTGCCGAAATTCAGATTTCAGCTCGTCGGTTTCGGACTTTGTGTTTTGGGTGTTAAACAGCTTCGAGTGAGCCTTTTTCAGCCACACGGGAAATTAAATACATCAAATCTGTTTCTGATTATTAGGTCAATGTCTGACTGTTAAACGTCACCAGGGAGCTTATTCTGCTGATTTTGTTAAAATGTTGTGCAGCATCCACACGGCGTGTAACTCATTGTTGTCCCAGTTTATTATTCTCAGTTCTTATTTTCATGTTTTATGTTATGATTTAATGCCAGAAATATTTTTCACAAATTCCAAAGTTCAAAATTAAAATTTGAGCTCTCCAGCTCTGAATCTTGTGATCATTATAAACGTGAACAGAACGCAGTTTGTGGATTAACTGGAGGCGATTTTTACATTTAAATGATCAAAAACTAAACATATGTTTCATTTCTGTAGTTGGATTTAAGCTGCAGTTATTTACAGCTTAACAACAATAATAATAACAATAATAATATTAATCCTCAGATAATTTTTGTCACGTGATTCATAAATAAATATAAAGGTGAACCACTGTGGAAAATGAGGCTTTGTTTGTATAATAACAATGTTGTCTCGTTTTTATTGTTATACATCCACATTCTGCAGAAATGAGAAGTTGTGAAATCCTTGAACAAAAGAATATATAATAACAATAATGATGATGATGATGATGATGATGATGAGGCGCCTGATGAAGACCTGGAGTGTCTGAGTTATAACAGGAGCTGTCAGCAGCAGCTTTTATCTGAAAGCTTTTATTTTGATGGTCTGCTGATGGCCTGTGTTAGACTTG